ATGGTCTACATATCTACGATGTAATTACGGTGAAAAATATAATTATTTTCTTGTTAGAGAATTCATCAGATTAGAGACTGGGTTTACTACACCTCCAGGATGTTATTTCTTTCCAAGGTCTCCAGTAGTTCTTTGTGTGCTTTTTTCTGTGAAATTAGTGTACGTGAGCTGTACATCAAAGCTTATTAATAGTTCGCTTCATTCCAAATTGTTGCCTTTGATTCATTTCTAAAATTTGTATGAATTCTTTACTATATTCGATAGACTGTCATTCTTCTTTTAAATTTAAGGAAGTTAAATTTCGACAGTTTGTGAGTTGCTCTGTCTTTACTTTTAACTATTAGTTCTTATTCTTAATGTACTGCAAGAAATTCTGAAGGAAATGAGTACGAACGTACAATGAATTCACTCCTACGAAAGGATGCAAGAGCCCCAGTAGCATAGCGTTCGCCGAAAATTCACAAAGGACTGCCATTGAGACTTATAGTCACAAATGAACACGGAGCAACAAATAAGCTGGTGAAATGTTCTGCCTCAAATTAAAAATGGTTAATGACATTAGCGAATACAATAAACGGAGACCAGAATCGAAGGCTCATAGGCTGCCAGACAGTAATTTTCATGAATAGCAAGTAACAAATGTCAAGCAAGATGGAGAGGGGCTAAATAGAGGTCAGAAATCATGACCTAGATTATGCTTTAAAAAATCCGCTTGAAGCGACACACTTTTAGGCGATATTGGAGAAAACGAGAGCACAGAATGGTGCGAGTAAGCAATTGGACGATAGAAAGTAGGGTTGTGAGAAAGAGATGTAGAATTAGAAGGTTGGATAGAAAATTGGTTAAGGGGATTGTCTTCACTTGTTACTGATAAGTTGTAACTCTCTGCTAAGGATGGTGCTTCTCACTCAAATTTGCTGACCTCGATGCCAGCGAAAAATCTGGTAATGTACTAAGTCAACGGTCCGGTGCTAGCAATCCTGATAACTATGGCAGTAGACGCAGGTTTCTTATATTCATAGTGTTGGTTCGAGCTTGTTTTCTCAACTTAGTCGAAGCATCAGGGAGACCTTGTGGAACGTACCTAGTCCCGTGTTCTCTGCCATAGTATTCGTGATTTCCAGCATTGGACCATTGGCTGGGCACATTCTCAAACGTTTCGCCGGCATCGTCAGTGAAAGACGCCATCGTAGGCACAGAGTTACAACTTCTCATAGTGGCTGGCTAAAGGTGACTGCGACCAAACGGAAGGCCACTCCATTTTGATCTTCATATCTACGTTTCTTATCTTCACTTTATATCTTTGAAAGCTGTTTTATTTGAAATATTTATGATTGATGCTATTTTGCACTTTTTTGTGAGGTATTATCCACGTTGAAATGTCTATGGTGCTGTAAACATCATCAGGGAAATTTTATTTTAAGACCCTATTTTATCACGTTTCTTTATACCTATGAATATTTTTCCATCTTTTTAATAATTTATCAGCATCACTTGCTTCTTTTATCTTGATATAAGTATTCACGCCCATACTATTATTATTATTATTATTATTATCCTCCCCAATCTTCACATCTTCAGCTGGGAGCGCCGTTTGGACAGATATAGTCAAGTCTATTATGTTGATCACAATACACGCACCACAACTTGGCTAAGACCCAGCAGCCATCTCTTGGACAATGTTGCACAATGGCAGGAATGGCGTACTGGCCGATCTAATGCGATGGCCACTCAGCTCAGGCAGCGATACGCCGCCTCTGTTTGGACACCACCTAGTGGCACTGCGCCTGCTATGACTACCTGTGGGCAGTCAATAGCTTCCACCTCTGCTACTGTGACAACTAATACCGCAGCAAATGGGAGCGCGGCGGTCACAGAAGGAATGGTCCCCGGTCAGCTGGCTGGTGCACCAGATCGATGTGGACCTCTGCCTAAGGGTTGGGGTATGCATTCTACCAATAGGCAGATTACATCACAATAACATTAAGAATAGAGGCTTTCATCTTCTATGCCATCACTTTAGTGGGATTCCCCTCGGTTTAAGGCTAAAGTTACAGATCTAATTGTGATATTTAGATATATTTAATATGAATTAAAGATATATTTTAATCCGCTTTAATTCGGTGCATCTGGTATTGGAAATTGGACGAATGTATTGTAGCTTATAATTACTTGGTAAATTCAAAAAATATTCTTGATAGGCCCAATTAATGCTACGTATAAGTTCTATTTCAAGATTAATTTTTAAACCAGAGCAGCATTGATTTAAATTTTTAAAATCTCATTTGGTGATTAGATCTCATTGTTTTCTTACGCTAAAGTTTTTGTCTTGCTTCACTATGGGAATTGATATTGATTCTGATGATAATAAATTAAAGGAAAGACTTAGTTTTCATTACACCATATATCCCAAAAATACCACTCGCACCTAGTTTGGACTGCATCTTTGACCTCAGTTAGTGATAAGTTGAATGATAAAATTTTAATTTGGTAATTACTATGACATTTTAGCTAATGCAGTTATGCAGCTTTTATTTATCGCAAAAATAGTCGATATTAGTTAATGTAGCACAATGCACAGCATTTTTCATCTTTACTACAATGAGATTCTAAAATATATTTAGTAACTTCCATAGTTTATATTCCGATTTAGCAGGTCTCTAATAAGACATATATTCATCCTGGGTCGCATAATTTAATGAAGGATTGATAGTTTAATTTTCCCATAATGGTTAGGTTACCATTTAAGTTCATTTACCCTTGATTCCTAAAATACATTGTAAGACAAGGTCTACCGCAGTTTCGGTCTCGTCTTGCTCAAAGCACTCCCAACGGGAATCGAAAATGACTAATAGTGCGTTTATCTTCGACATGTTACCACTTCATCACTGCTATGCGTTTCAATGGTTAACGCAGCAAACGTAAATTTCAAGGTTATTAGGCCTCTATGTCACATTTTGTCGTAGGATTGTTGATGTATTTGTAATCACGATCTACTACTTTACTTTATTCGAATTGAATAGATTCTTATTTAAAATCTACTGGTAGTTTATAAATCTACTCTATCAAAATATAAATAATATAATCGATTGTAATAGCAAATCCAAATATGCTTCATTGACACGGCAAAATGCGATATGAGAGAGGCCTGCGCCTGCCATCGTGACAGTTTGGTAGATTAGTTACATAATAAAAATAGACTAGACTATCCAAA